GTATAGTAACTTTTTATTATAATCACACTTTTTATTTTTGGTCCCAAAGGGTGTGACTATAAAGGGGGACGACTGTAATAGGAAATTAGTGATGCTTCACTAGTATTAAATAATACTGTAGTCATATGAAATATTTGATTTTTAGAAGTTATAGAAGGAATTTGTGTATTATATAAATTATGATCTATTATAAGTCTATTATTCTAAATATATTATATTATTATTAGCATTTATTAAATATTAAAAAAAATGTTTCTATTTCTTACATATTTTGAATATATGCTTATATACTAGATTGATGATTATTTACAATAGCTTTAAGTTTATTAAATAAAGTTTGATATATTGAACAAATCCTATATTTGCTAAAGCATTTATTTATACAAATTACTGATGCATTAAAAATAACACAATTGTGGTTTTATATCGCTAACTTGCTTGTTGCATATTGCTGCAATTAATAACATATCAACATAACCTTTTGTTTTAATAATTATTATATTTGTAAGCTTTTACTTTTAGGATTCATAGATTGGAAAATCATATCAAAAAGTCCTTTAATTTGTGTATTGTATCCCTCAATTAATTTTTCAAATTCTGCTATATTCTATACTGACAAATTTTTTTCATGAAAATGTCTATATAAATATTGATGATCCATCCAATTTTATTTGAGAAAACTCTGAAAATTCATTTAATCCTATAATTTAGTAATAAAATAAATAATAAGTAAAAATTTCGATTAAATTAGATTTGAGAAATAAAAAAAATTAACTGGTTATTTTGCTTTCTTCATCTGGTTTAATTGAAATTTTAAGTCTTCTATTTATTGTATAAGTTTGTCATATATTTTTTGTGATAAAGAAAATTTTCTTTATTTTGTATCTTTTGCATAATATGATAAATCCATATTTTTCCTTTGATTTGTTATTTAATTATTTTTCAATCATAAATAACAAAATTATTATAATGAAGTTGACACAACTGATCATTAAGTTTAAGTTCAAAAGTGAGTTATTGAATAGCAGGACTTTTTATTATTATTGCTTTAGCAAGTAAGTTTTTGCTTATTTTCTATATTTTTCTCTAAAAATTTAACAATCACATACAGCATAAGGACCATTATTCTGATGAAAATTTATTTTTACCATTACTATTGGTCGAAGTTTAAATTGAGTGTTAGGATCAAAGAAAGTTGTTAAAGGATCAGTATAGTGAAGACAACGCTAAATCTTCTTGTAAATTTTTAGGTATAGTTATTTTGTGATACAAAATGACTATATTATATGATTTTTTTTTCTTTTTAAAATAATGCGTTAATATAATTGCCGATCATTTGTAATTGATTATATAATACATATAATATCCAATAAAAATAATTCTTAACTATACTTCTAAATGGTAAAGGTAAAACTTAAATTATATTAAAATTTTATTAAAAAGTCTGTAAAATTCAAAAAAAGTAAAACTATATCAAATTTATAAAAATGATGAAATTATATTAAAACCTTAGGGTTTAGATATTTAATCAAATTCAAAATAAGTTTAAATAAGCAATCTTAATCAGATTCAAATAAGTTTACTATCCTTCAAACTGAAGGAATAAACTTTGTATTTTAAGATAAGAAAAAATGAAATAGAAATTAAAAAAAATGTTGAACATTACAATCTTAAAAGATATGAATTTCTGATAATATATATATATATATATATTAAATGAAACAGTTAAAAACAAATGTTACAACTAAGTGTAAAAGGTAGTTTATAAATCAGATGCTTCTAGTAATTTATGTATAAAATACTGCAATTGGATTGGTTTAGATAGATCATAGATTTACTGCGCCAACTAAATTTTTTTCAATGCAGGTTTGAAAATAGGTTTATTTGTATTAACAAATAAATTAAGATACGATTTTATAATATACGATTTATTTGTAAAATTAATAATCCAATTTATTATAAAATATAATTCTTTCACAAATATGTACACACAAATAACAACTAAATAAATATCACAATTGAATACAATATAAAATAAAAAAATGTGAAAATTGTAAATGGTTAAAATGTTTTAACGTAGTATTGAATAATTTAATTTAAAAAGAAAGTAAGAAATATTTTCATATTTCACCATGTGTATCATCTGAATTTTGAGAGGTCTTTTTAGCTCTTTCTTCCATTTGTTGTTTCAAAAATACTTTGGTACCTGATCTCATCCTTAAAATTCTTAAAATAATTTCACTATTATCCTGAGTATTATTTTTACGTTTTTGAGATTTTCGGTTTTTAATTGTTCCTAAATTACGCGAATTCATTACTGATTTGTTGATGCTTGTTGATTTTTTAACTGTTATCGTACTTGTGATTTGGTTACTAAGATATTCTTGCATAAGTGTCTCGGTTTCCATATCGTAATAATATGTTATCGACATTATATCAAGATACTTTTGGTTTTCAAGAACTTCTTTTGATAGACCGTTTCCATCAGCATAGAGATAATTATGAAGGAACTATATATAACATAATGATGAATGATAAATCGAATTACTTTATATAATGAATCAACAAATAAATAATCATTTACCTTAAGCCATTTAATTACAACATCAACCTCAATGTCATTAAGAGGTTTCATTTCAGAAGGTCGATCTGATAAAGGAGGTACCAAGAGTTCCTCAATAATAGATTCGATTTCTTTCCATACTTTAGTCATGACTTTTGTAAACACCACTTGATGTAGATAACTATTGAGCGTCATTAAGTTGGGATCAAAATAATCGAAGAGTGGATGAATCGCTTTTTCGATGTCAAGATCTGTCAATTCGAGCTTCGGTTGATTAAAAAATATACCGGGAGTTTTCACCAGTTTTGAAATGACATCTCTTGATAAACATTGTCTCAAAAATGGAGACAACTACACATAAGAAACTACCTACGTTAATTTAATTCATATAAAAGAAAATCATAAAAACCAAATCATATATACGTACTCTATCAACAATTATTCTTGCCATATCATCATGTGCACGTTTTAACGTCCTAAACGCTTTTCCAAAATAAAATTGAATGTCGTCCTTTTCTCCTTCCATACTTATTCTCAATAATATTCGACCATGTGGATCTAAATCTAGCCACACATCGTGAGCTAAGAAGTCATCGAAGAAACTAGGATCTAACTTAATATAAGCTTTCCCACATACATCATCAGAACCAACTTGGTCTCTGTCCCACACTGTAACGCTTAACCATCGCATTTTGTCTGAAGATTCAATGGTGATATCAAATGCTTCGTCCCAACGTGGATTCAACGTTTCAAATTTTACACGTGTCTGAACTAATTTCATTCCTTTTTCGTCCGCAAGCACACAGTAAGGATCACTGGACCCATTGGTATCAAGAGCAGGTAGATTTTCTGCTTGAACTATTTTAATTGTGTAGAGATATCTGCTTTTTTCCACCTTATCCGGAACGGGCGGTGCTTGTTCTGAATCACGTATAATTTGAGCTAAATAATCAACATCCATTGAATTATACAAATTATCAAGCTGTTCACGTGCTGCTTCAATGTTATTAATTTTAATGCAAGACTGATGAAATTAAATTATTAAATTAATTATGAGTGCAATTATTTTGATAACAAATATTTAAATCAAGGTTTCGGATCTGACAACTTACCTCAGGCTTAATATCTAAAGGAACAACTTTATCAGTTGCCATAGCAGTTTTGGCTCTAATATACCAAGCCGATTGCTTTGATGCAACTTGTTCAGTTTCTTCCGGTGGAAACATGTCCACTTTAAACTTTTCCTCTATAACATTACAATATTGCTCTAAAGCCTTACTGACAGTCTATATTAGAAATTAAATTAATACGTATGTATTATGAAACAAATAATTTCCCTATCAAATTCATACCCTAGATAAGCTCGTCATATAACGAGCACTTTGGAACTCATTTGGCCAATTTAGTCGTTTAAGAAAGTCAATAGTTTGATTAAAAGATGTGAAAAGATCAACTACGGAAGAAGAATGGCTATCTGTAGCACTAACTGACTTGAACTGTTTACAGTAAAATTTATGTAAGAATAATGAACAATGTTTAATATTACTATTACAAATAAACTTTACCTTATCAACTCTAACCGCAGATTCTACCCATTCTGGAGTCTTAGAGTCCATAGCTTCTAACCATTTACGAACATGAGGTCCAAACCACTCTTGAATATTAAAAGTAAATATTTCACTAAAATAATGTCAATTTTTTTGGAATTTTAATATGGAAAACAAAATCACTTATAAAACTTTCAATGTTAATCAATTGTATAGAACGATAACTCACCCATGACAATTTTCTAAAAAGATTTTTTTAATAGCGAGAACTTCTCTGTATAATTCAAAAATATCGTCAACTGGAATTCCTTCTTCAGGAGTCATTTTGACTTTATTTAAGATTTCAGATGTAGCATTTTCCATATCCGCAATATAAAGAGGAATTTGTGTTCTAATTACTAAGCAAGTAATATCGACTTGGCTGCATTATGATCAATTAAAAAAGAAAAGGTTAATTGTAGAGTATTCACTTAAATATTTGAATTGTTAAACTGCAGACGAATTTGTGCGCAAACCGTTTAGAAAATAATTATGAATATATTTTTTTTTTTTACACACTTTATTAAAGGTTTTGGGAATTTGGTGCGTAATTTTTCCAAGTCTTCTTGAAACGATCGAGCAATAGATATTAAGGCATGCACCTCATTAGCAGCTTGATTATAAATTTTGTCTCTCTTCTCTTGGTATCTTTTAATCGTTACTTCCTTAATATTAAAATAACTAATAAAATTTAAAAATGGTACTACCGACAATAATAAAGCATACTATAAAGTACTTACAATAACACGAGATCTATGTTCATTGTACAACGATGATAGAACGTTAGCATATCGTTCTTGAAATAATTCATTTTCATGAATCGTCTGCATTAAAGACAAAATCGGATCAAAACTTGATGGTTTAATCCTGAAGTATTGCGATAATCCTTCATTCAGGTCTCTTAATAAAGAGTCATGAATCCCTGAAATTACTTCAATAAGCTCCCTTTTCTACATCATAGAAAAAAAAATTTTGTTTATAAAATTCTTTATAAATTTAAGAAAAAAGAATAGAAATAGAAATACAAACATCAGAAATAGTCCACGTATTAATAGGCCGTTTCTTGATTGCATCATTCAATAAATAAAAACCTTCCTTTATGTGATCCAAGCTAATCTGAGAATTGATTTCGGGATCGGGACTATCATATCGACTCTTGATTGCATCTAAATATTGCAACCATCTAAATGCAGGCGAAACTCTCCAACGTAGTCCACATTCATTAAGCAAATCGAGAGTACTTTTTGAAAGGATCTTAAATGAAAACTCTTCATGAGACATATGTGATAACTCGTAATCTATACACTTATACATCAAATACTTGTAGTAATTACGATGATTTGGCGGAATAAAAGTAAAAGAATCTCCTTGACTACTTGACTAAATGAATTAATTAAAGAGTGATATTAATAAAAATTTGTCTGAACAATTATCATAATAACACAAACCTCAATAGGCGGATTAAGTGTTTCTTTAGGTTCATTAACTGAATTCTGTGACTGATGATATGGAGGATTATAAGGAAGATATGGCGGTTGCTGTGGATTATTATATGATGAATGATGTTGTTGATTATTGTATGGTGGATATGGTGGTTGATTACTATATGGTGGATATGATGTTTGTGTTTGTTGATTACTGTGATGGTATATTGGCTGCTGTGAATTATAAGGAAATGAATAACCTGGTTGTTGAACCTGTTGATATTGTGAGTCGATGGAACGTTCAGTTGAACGTGCTTCTTCATATTGACGAAGAGCAACGTTCATAGTTTCAGGATGCATTGATCCTGCGAATGTTGTGCGTCGTGGGTTTGATGCTAACGATATCCTTTTATCATTTGGTCCTGACAAAAGTGACTGCCGTATTTCCGTAGATTTTTTAAGACCTAGGTCTGGATTAAGTGCAATCATTACAGCAATATTTTCTGCAATTTGTTTCAACTCGATTGTTTTCCAATTGTTATAAGCTTCATCTGAATCAAAATCATCTCTACAAGCCGGAAAATTTGCGCCACGATTTACATGGTTTATAATATTTCGAAGATCTTCTAATGCAGACTATTTTTTTTTAAAAAAAAAAAATTATATTCTAAATATAAAAAAATTAAATAATAAAATAATAAGATATAAGAAACTTACTTGTTCACTACAAATATTTTTTAATTCATTAACATCCCTTTGTGCTTGATTAGGAGGAATGTTGAAAATCGCTTGGACTACTTTAACCATTGCCATATCTTCAACATTCGTACTAATCCCATTTATGATCGGTGGTGTTTTAGGCCCACCAGTCATCTTGGTTAAATAAATTTCTAGTCGTGCCATCATTTCAGGGGCTACCGATGGAGTTTTGATAAGACATTCTTTTAATATACCCACAAATATAACAACATGATCCATAAGTTTAGCTTGCCACGTGATATTTGCAGGCATTTGGGTTTTTTTTAGTTCATCCTGAGAAGTTTTGAGATAAACTAAAACAATGTCCTCAATTTTGGTACTATCTTTAAATTGCTTACGAAAATTAGGCTGTTGTAAATCATGATAAAATAATGTAAGATCCCTTTGTAAGTAAGGATCCTGATAAAGAGGGTTCCTATCTCTACCGGTCGTAATATCTCCAAGTTTATCTCTTAATATTTTAAATAACTCTTTAGGTATTTTATTGCTTTTCGTTGACTTTTTATCATCTTTAAAAATATCATGGAAGGCTGAGAGATGAGTATTAAATACTTGTTCAATGGTTGTTTTACTTGAATCTTTTACTGCAAAGCTACCTCGCTTTGAAGCCTCTAGAGGAGGTCTAAAAGCGGAAGTAACGGCTTGAGGGGGTGCAGGTTTTATAACTTTTGGAATTCTCGGTTGTGTTAAGTATACCAGGTACGCGACACGTAATGCATACTGGTATACTAACTCTTCGGTAAGGTTCGTCGGACCAGGACCTGACAATCTCTTTTTTCGACCAGATTCAGACTTCGCTGAAGAAGACTGTCCAACTTCGAAACTATTCATTCTCCCAAAATATTTGAGGGAAAAAAAAAAAAAGGGGGAAATCAGAAAATATTTATTTTTATTGTTTTACACACGGGAATTTACTTATTTTTTTTTTTTTTTTGAATGGTTATTATTAGAGAATGCCTTTGATTGTGTGCTCGACAAATCGGGTCACAGCGGGTATGACAAGTTTAAATCCCGTGACTATTTTGAATTGGGCGTTTAAAAAATTAGGTGGTTTTTTAACAATCTAGCTATATTAAGTAAAACTATTGTGGTTAATTTGCCAATTAAATACCAAATTAAATAATTCCGTGTAACAATAGGGAACATTTTGTAATTGCATACCTGGTATAGTAAATTGTAACAATTGAACGATTATAGATATTGATTCATTTAAATGAAGTTTAGAGACGACTTTTTTATTTTGTATTCCTAATCCGAAATCCGGAGGCATCTCAATTTGTTCTAGGTTATGCATTGTGGAGGTTGATGCTTGCGATTTTGTTACACTTCTTTTGAATATATAAATTTTACGAGCCTCCTTTTTTTTATATGTCGATATATTTTTTCAAAAGGCGCGGGATTTATTTGGTTTAAGAGAAAACACTGTCTTCTTGTTTAAAGAAAGTAAATATTAAGAATAAAAATAAATATAAATCTATCAAAATAAGGTTTGATTTTATATTATATACCTATATCTCAAATTTTAAATTGTTATATCAATTTAAAGAGTTGACTTAGGGTTTCAAACGAGTGATATGAATTTAAAACTTTAAAGGAATAATAAAAAAATCATTCCTTTAGAATGACATTTTATCATTTTTTGAGCTATCGTTAGCTACCGTTTCTTAGAACAATGTTTATTGTCAACTTGTTAGCTCAAATCGAATTGAGCTTAATTGATAACTCAACCTTAATTTAAAATAAGTTGAATAATATTCAGACTAAACTTATTAAGAACTCAATGTATTTGACTATCATATCTTTTATTAATTAAAAAGTTTTAAAGAAATTATTTACCTACCTATATTTTAAATTATCAACTTAGAATTTCCAATAAGAGATTCTTAATTGTACCTGTATTAGTAATTAGAGTTAAGTGTATTTAATTTAAAAAAGTATATTTAAATAATATTTAAATAATATTTTATATTAATTAGAAATAGAGATATTAAGTAGTCCTAAATGTCTTCTAATTCCATTTTACCAGTATTATAATTTATTGTCTATAATTTTCGTTATAAAGTGGGCTACTGCGCCTTACAGCCATAGGAACGTTTTGTGTTTAAATTATTATAGTCGCATACAGTTTAACTGTACAGTACAGTTTATATGTATACCCTGAAATGTATATGCATAAAAAAATGGTTGAGTGATATTAGCATAAATAATATACTGTGCCTTATTTATGGACCAATCAAATATCTTAAACCGGTGGATTGAAGAATTATGGAGAGTTTTAATTTCGTTTAGATATTACATCATTTCGGGAAAAATAAAGTTTTTCAACATAATTTTGTCAATCGATAATAAACTTATCATTTACACAAAAAATGAAGAACAAAAAAAAAACCCACGAAGAAAAGGAAATCAAAAGAAAGAAATATCTCGGAAAAAAGGATTGCGAACCAACGATATATATTCGGAACGTTTCTTCGTTGAGGGACAGCACCACTGAGACAAATGAAACATCGAGGGTAAATACGATACAACAATGAGATGGGTGTAACTTTAAATTTTGTTCTAACCGAGGAGAATTTCATAATCTTTGGGAAACTCCTCCGAGTTGGTTTCCTGGATGGCCTTGCATGGACAAATAGGAACCCCGAGAATCCGTACGCCCGGACAATCAATGTTACGACAAAAAGTTTAATTTATGTCTCCGTGTTCCAAGACGTCAAAAGCTGATGCATGCACTGTGGTTGTATGACAACAAATTAATGGATCGTTGGGAAGCTATGAGTGATATATTATGGTTTCTTGGGGATCATTCAAAAAAGAAATCCAAGGAGTAGCAGATGATGAGACATATTTGAGACCAAACAATGTATGTTCAGGTTTAATCTATTTTTTTTCTTCCAGCTGAAAACAATTTTTTCCTTTCTGCCAAGACACGTTGAAAATGCATTGTTGTTTTATATATGTTTTATATTACACTACATTATAAAATGCCGAATCAACTGTATCATAATCTGCTTTCAATTATTAATAAAAAATTTTTGTTTGCTTGCTTGTGTGTTTATTTAATCTGTTCACATTTTATTCATTAGAAAGAGGTAAGTTCAGATAAAATCGACAATTTCTCAAGAATTATCCATCCTTAACTCAATGATCGGTCGAGTTTCAGAATGATAAAACTCGAGCAGTATAAATTACGTTTTGATATGTTTTTTCAACATGAAACTAATGTCATTATACTTTAATTGATTGATATATTTCGATTTGACCATATCAATCCTCAATAATTTTGGTACTTCAATTTCCTAACAACCTCTTTCTCTTCGCGATATAAAAGGAACGATATGAAAATTTAACTTAACAAATTGAAATATTCACGCAAATTGTAAAAATTATAATTTAGAAACTGTGTATTTTTTTTTTCAATAAATAATTGATAATTACATGAATCAAAAAAAAAAAGTATATTTTTTTTTTTAAAAAAAAAATCTGTATCCGAAACCATAAAATCTTCACTATCACTTTTATGAGAATACTCACCATTATGCATTTGGATAAGAACGAAGCTTATATAATAGTGCTTTACCCTTTTCATTACCTATAGCAAGATAACCGCTATTCGGGGAAAAATCAAAGCATTTAACAATACCCAAAGGATTTGACAAATTTGGCCAATTTGGAAACACGTTGAATGAAGGTAAATGAACCTAATGAAAATCAATGTAATTAATTTTTATGTAGTAATAAATGAAATGATGTCTTCAATAGAATAATTGTTTTACTAAACCATTTTTAATTGTTCTCGCTTAGAATGGCTCGAGATTCCAAGGATCTGAGTATCATGATTAAATTTCATGTCGTGGATACTTGTTGTTAGGTTCATTATAGATTTCTTAGGCTTTGGATTTGTTGAAGACAAACAAGATCCATCATAAACGTTAACAATACCGGAATGCGAACTAAGAAAAAAATTTTTGATTTTGATTATTAAATTACATGGAAAAGAAGAACTAAATTATCAATGAAACAGTCTCTTACCCAATGGCAAAATAGTTATTGTTGCTGGAAATTGCAATTTTCTTGAGATTATACCCACCTTCATCCATGAAGCAATGCACCGATTTTCGTTCACCGACATCCCACTGATAAACTGTAGCATCATCGCTAACCGAAAACAAATACTTGCCATCACTGGACCAAGCAACCGCATTCGCGGAGCCATTCATTTTAAATTTACCAACCCATTGTTTCGTTTGATAGCTAACTAAAGTTAAATAACCATTATTCCCTACAAATACAATATATTTTCCACAAGGGGATATCGAAAAATTTTCAAGACTTTTATCTTCCGATCCAAATATTCCATGAGATCTATCTACATTTCCTGCCTCGATGTTATAAATATAAAAATACTTCCGTCGCCCGGTTGCAATGATTTCTGAACCACTTGGATTAAATTCTGCTTTTAAAATTGGTAAATCATTGAAGAATACTGACTGAATTTTCGGGTTTTTAACGCCATCAATCTTTTGTATTTATTCAATAAAATAAAGAGAAATTGTTAAGTGTATCCAAAAAGAAAGAAAATTATTGATTTAAAAACAAACCTGGAATAATCGTATTGTCTTATCTATTCCCGCGGTCATCAATACTTGCGAATTTGGATGAAATTTCAATGATTGAATTACACACTAATGATATATATATAATAAATGTTTAATATCATGTTATGGCATTAAATAGTACATAACGCGAAACAATAAATTACCTGTGAATATGCTGCTTGATTTGCATCTTTCACCCGATAAATTTCAAGCTTTTTTGCCTTTAATTTCCACTTGTTTTTGCCTGACTCTTCTACTTCTTCTACCTCAGATAAGTTTTCATCAGAATCTTCCATTCTTTCTTTGTCCGTTTGTCTTTTACGTTTTGAAGGCACGACAGCCCAATTTGGTGTTGGATGAAGTTTCTCAAATCTATCGAGTAATAATTTTGAGAATAATTAATTATTCATACCGAAAATTATGTTGAAACAAAAAGAATAATCAGAAAGGATTATTTACTGGTTTCTTAATCTCTTTTCATATTGGTCCCCGGATATTAAATCATCATCTTCCGTCCTCCTCAATTTTTTCAACATATTTTTGCTTTTTAAAGATACGGTGACATTTTCATCATCGGAATCTTGCCATACGCCTTCAATTCCCTCTATAGATATTTTGATTTATCAGATATAATAATAATATACGCCATAAAAAAAAAAAAAAATTTACAATACTTTTATTTTTCGTTCCAGCTTCTTGAGAAGTGATATCATGATTGATTTCTTCCAAATCGATCCTTTCATCATTATTTACGCGTGTTTCAGGTATAATATCGATAGAGTAGGGAACCGGCGGTGTAGTATCGAAAACATGTGACTTTGGTAAAACTAATGTTTAGTCAATTTTAAAAATATATATATATAATATTTTTATTACGATACTAAATAAGTAGGAACTCACAGGCATGTCACTTTTTTCCGCTTCAGACTCCTCGTTTTCACTAGCAAACTTTTCTTGTTTTGACGTATTATCCAATTGCTTAGCATTTAGACTTATTTCACACTCTGGTTTGTAAAGGTCTTCAAAAACTAACGCCTCTAGTTCTAACTCTAATATTCCTTTTTGTGGAAGGATTCCTTTTTTCTTTTGCTGTAAATCATTTAAATTAATGAATTTATCGGATAAAGCATCGAGAGGATTGTAGGAAGTGCTTTTTTTTGATTCATTATTCACTTTATTGTCATCAATCTTTAATTGTATGGAATTACTTTCTTTATTTATTTTTCTGGATTTTTTCTTTTGTTTTTGAGGCATATTTTTTTTTTTTTTTTTGATTTTGATTAATTTTTTGAGATGTGGAAATTTGTAGCTTTTAACCTTTTGGGCAAAATTATAGCGACTCACCCCAAATTATTGCACGTGCTAAGCATAGCAGCTCCTCTTATTGGTTACTGCAAATTTGCATTTTTCAATACCTCGTAAATCTATACGGATGGTTGTTATTTTCATTATTAAAATATGTCAAATTTTATCATATCAATTTCAGGGGACATTTAATAAATACTGTATAATTCAAAAAAAAAAAAAAAAAAAAAAACTTTTTTCTAAAATAATCTTTATATATTACAATGAAATTTCGGGTTTTCTAAAACGAATTTTTCCTTCAATAATAGATTCATAAGATAAATTATCTAATCTTCGTAATTCGTGTCTAACATGTTTAACCAAACAAGCCATATTATGTGCTGAACCCTCTGTAATCAAGATATTCCTTAATATACAAATTTTTTTTTTTTAAAAAAAAGTAAATTTTAAAAAATTCAAAAAAAGTTTCGGTTATTGATTAAATACGACAACATACCTCCATAAAGCAGCAGCTAATACAGGATCATCTTTGCACATTCCTTCATCATATGCCATAACACCACCATGAAATAGAGAAAGCAGATCCTTAGTATAATAATTGATAATACTATTTGAAGTAATCTTTTTTTTTTTAAAAAAAAAGTAAAAAATAAATATACATATATACATATATATTGATTAATTAATAATAATAAGTATGATAATTTTTTTTATAAAAAAAAAAAAAGAAAATATATAATTGTGTGTATATATATAAGTGACATACTCCATAATCTTCTCTCATTCTCCATTCAGCATCTTCAAACAAGTGATTTACTAACTGTTGCATAAATATTTTTCCTTCATTTTCAACTCTAAATCTAACCATTAACATCCAAATATGTAATAAAGTCACAGCAAACCAAGTTTGAAAACTATCAGGTAATCCACAAGCTAAAAATGAATATAATACACAGATGAAAAGGTTTTAAAGATAAATAAAAACATTCTTTTTATTGAACCAATTAATTCACTTACTATCAATATAAAATTCCTTATTTTCTTCATAATGCTTTGAACACATTTGATATAATTCTCTTGTAATTCTTATAGCTTGTACTGGTAAATCATAATAACCAAGTGCTTTAGCCAAACGTACAAGCATATTTTGTACAAAAGGTGGAAATTTTCTTTTTGATATTGGGTTCGGAGTTTGGAATCCATCCAACCAATATCCTTCCAATTTACTTTTCTTTTTAGTTTTATTCTTTATATCCGCTGTAGTAATGGTTGATTTTTCTTCATTGTTTACTTGTGAGGTGGAACTAATGTTACGATACTTTTTTTTAAAACAAAAAAATAAAAAAAAAATAATGTTAAAAAAATACACAAATTAAAACATTTCTATAAGGAAATATTTTTATTATAAGTTAGTATGATAGTATTATTTACCCGTAACATATACCTATTTTGAGTTTGTAATATAAAAGGTAGTACTTTCCTCCTATTCAACAATGTGAAGGGAGAAGTAATGCAACTACACTTTGATAACTTTCGTAACCTAAAAGAGGTGGACATTGCTGCTGTGCTTGCTATCCTTACATTTAAGTTTTAAACCAAAACAAATTTAATTTAGAGTATACGATTTTCATTAAAAAAAAAACAAAAAAGGGAAGAAGAGAAACAGAACGAACCGAGGACGAAAAGCAGGGACAAGTGATGCCATTTTTTTTTGATAATCTCATTTATTAAAGAGTACGTCCTGTCACGTGATATTAATATATCCCCAACCTTTTGACCAAAAGTATAATTTTTTCACTTACTAATTTTTCCCAATTAGTTTGGTATAATGTATATTTATTCCAGTATCTTATCACAATTTAAAAAATTCCTATTAAAATGTCCAAAATTTTTTACAATTATGACGTTATAAATAATTACTTCGCGCTATTTCTATATATAAATAATGATGAAATGATAACAGGAAAAATATTATATATATAGGAAGGAAAAAAGAAATGGTTAAAATGTCAAGTAAAAATATAAGGACTAATCAAAAAAAAAAAAAAGGTAATAAAAAAAGAAAATTTTTTTTTTTAAAAAAAAAATACAAACTATAATATAAATATCAAAAATCAATGCAAATTGTAACAATGTACAACAGAAAAATAAAAATTAAAACAATAACAATAAATCTTCACTTAATAAATACTAATGATCACAACAATATAAAAAATGTCCTTAATTACAAACTTTATAGGATGTTAATATAACTATATAACTATAACTAATTGATATGCAAAACTAATATAAAATAATTAGATCAATATATTTATAAATACCCAATCTGCTAAAAAAAAAGTAATAAAATAATAATAATAAAATAGATTATTAACACCCACAAACTGTTTTGTGATCATTAGAATTTGTGAAGCAATCATTAATACCACACCAAAAAAAATTCCTATGCAGCAAAAGAATATAGAGAGAAAGAAAACAATTAAAAATTTCTAATCTAATTAATAATGAAAAAATATATATAATAAAAATGAAAACAATTAAAGGCGATAAAGGCAGTAAGGGGTTGAGTTTTTTTTTTGGCTTTCCTAATTTTTAAAAGGAAAAAAGGAAAAAGAATTTTAATATTTTAAAGTCTAAATTATTATTTATTTTCAATCCAAAGATGCGCGCATTTGAGACTGTGACAATGGAATGAAATTATGAATATCGATTCCACGAGAAAGGAGTTCTTCCTCAGCATGAGGTGGCACAAGTTTGGAATTTAAGTCTTCACGGATGGATAATTCTATATAGGTAATTTTTTTTTAAAAAAAAAAAAAGTCGGTGATTCGTCAATAATTTTATATTTTATTGTTAATTCTCAGAAAATAAAAAGAAAAAAAATTGGTTCAAACCTTGTTTTGTAAAGTTGAAGAGTTTAGGTAAATCTTTCCCATTTGGAAGTCTTGTTTCTGGGTTTCGTAATTCATCGAAAAATGGGTGGCACATTGCCTGAATTGCTGTTAGTCGATTGGGTGGTGTGTATTCCAATAAACGGGAAATAAGATCGATTGCTTCAGGAGGTGTTCTGGCTCGGAAAACCTAACAATACAAAATCTTTATTTGTAAATAAAAATGTGTAAAAATTGTTTGTGTACAAAGGTTCTAGCAAAATCTCGTTACCTTTGAAAATGGATGCGGTTTAATTTGAGGAAATTTATGTTCCATATAATTTGGATTCATAGTTTTAATCTGGTCCCTAGTTGGTGTTCCCAAAACTTTGATAATTTCAACCAACTGGTCAATACCACTTTCTCCAGGGAATAAGGGTTGTCCAAGCATCAATTCAGCCATAACACAACCTGTTGACCAAACATCTGTACAATAAATTAAAGAAATGATTGGAGTTATATATTAACATTACAAAGGAAGGAAGAAAACAATAAAAGCAAATTGATTAATTACCAATGTTTGTTGTGTAGTTTGTTGCGCCAAAGATCAACTCGGGCGCCCTATAATATCTCGAACAGATATATGAAACATTTGGTTCTCCCTCTACTAAGATTTTTGCACTACCAAAGTCACATAATTTTAATACGCATGTGGTTGGATTTAATAACAAATTTTGTGGTTTAATATCACGGTGACAGATTCCAAGAGAATGGATATAGGAAAGTGACCGGAAAAGTTGATACATGTAGAGTTTTATATGAAGCATAGGCATCGTTTGCTTGCTTTTAGCATACAAACGTGATGCTCTGTACACTGTTTCAGGAACATATTCAAGTACAAGGTTAAGGTAAACCTCGTCTTTCTGTAATTATTGTTAAAGAATATAATATATAAATATACATAAATTAACTCATGTGTTTTCATCATTTATAAATATTTATAAACATGAACGGTTTCTTTGTCGTTCGATTCGTTTACATACCTTTTCACCATTAGAATAAAAAAAGGATTTCAAACCCACTATGTTTGGATGCGACACCAATCTCATAATTTGAAGTTCCCGATTCTAGATCAAAAAAAAGAGTGTGTGTATATGAATATAATTTAATCAATTTACAAAACAATTTGTCTATTATTTTTTGAAAGAATTTGATAAAATTACTGTACTTGAAGAATAATTAGCTATTTGAAAATTCTCAACACAAGTAATTTCAAGATTTTAATAGTATATCTTACCTTAAACCGTTTATCCTGAAGTACTTTTTTAATAGCAGCATCTTCGGCAGATTTAACTAGTTTTGCTTGAAACACCACACCGAAAGAACCGTTTCCAATTACTTTTGTTACTGTATAGGCTAACTCGAAATCCTCTGCCGTTTTTCCATCCGTAGCGACAACCTTGATCACTTTATGAGGATCATTTTCTATTAGAAATGAAAACGGATGTACGAGCATTAGTATATTAACATCGCCGTCTATCAATAATCAATCCTCATTGTCTTTAATAATTTAAATGGAGTTAAAATAAAAATATATAGGAAAAGTACAGTTTCCGGCAAAAAAAAAACAGACGAAACCAGTCTTTAATTTCTTTACAACGGAAATGGATGTTATTTGAAGAAACTATTTTCATAAATATAGCTTTTTACCTACCAACTTTCATTCCATTTATAGAACCGTTCGATGACATAGTATCTTTGTGTGATGACTTTGTTTCCGTTGCGTTGTTAATTGCGACCGGTACGCGACGTTTTGACATATCGAGCTTCGAAAAATAAATATTTAAAAAATTATGTTTGCGCTTATTATCAACAAGACATGGAAACACATATTTCCAAATGCAGATGCACTTCTTATTTTCGTGTAACTATTTGGAAACCAAGTAATAATAAAGAAAAAAATCTTTAACAAGTTCCGTTAAGGCACCTGATCTAATCATCTGATACTTTAATTAATTTTCAATCACATGACTCAAAATCTAGTTCAAATTTTATTTAAAGGACGTGATAAATCAATGATTTTTTGGAGGAGACTCCCAACTCAAATTGAAATAAGGTTTAAGAATTTGATGTATTTCAGTCAAGACCCTCTTTTCAATTTCCGGAGTTACTACCTCTCCCTTTTGTCTCGCTTGTACTTCTTTAAGGTATAAAATAGCATCCTCAACTTCAGTTGGATTTGATAATCCGATTACAGTACTAGTGATGCCACTCAAATCTAAAGCGAATTGAATTGCTAATTTAGAAATGTTTAAATTATTCCTGGAAGCAAGCGTTGAACTTTGCGCAACAGCATGTCGTAACTCATTTGAAGCTGGATGCCAAACTGGTGGACCATTATTACGCAAAAGTCCCATGCTAAGCGGAGATGCATTCATTATGTAACGAACCCCAACACGATTAAATTCTTGAATATAGTCTGATAATTTAATGTTATGAAGACAGTAATGAGAATAAGATAGAATAACATCAATCGGTTGATTGCGATCGTATTGAAGTCGTGTTATATCCAAAAGAACATCTAAAGGATATCCTAGAAATAATACAAGGAAAATTAATTCTATCTATCAAATACTTACTATATATATCTTTTTCCTTACCACTTATTCCTACATATTTGATTTTTCCTTGTTCCTTTTAAATAAAAAAGTTGTCAACTTTTAAGCATATCAAAAATTTCTATTGACATTAAAGTGAATATTTGCCTTTACCTTTAGCTTAAATAACTCAGGCAAAGCCCCACCGTCTTCAACAATATCTTCACGTTTAACAAATTCTACATCATGCGCATATACAACGTCCAAATAATCGGTGCGTAATCGTCTACAACTTTCTTCAACACTTTGTCGAATTCGTTTGGCAGAGTAATCAAAATCTTTCAGGCCGTACCGACCTACTTTGGTGAATATGTAATAACTAGAACGAGAAAATTCATCTCGCAAATTGTAAAGGGCAGAACCAAGAATATTTTCACCTTCGCCGTAATATGGGCTAGTATCAAATGCGTTAATGTCTAATTATTTCAGTAAGTATAATAAATCGAAAGAAAAAAACCCCCCAACACATAATCGAATTATAATCACCTAATTCAAGAGCCCTTCGAACAGATAATGACGGCCAATCTTCTCCAATACGATTATGCAAGCCATTAAAGACGGCCGCTCCAAATGTTAATTTTGAAACTTCGAATTTATTATTGGAAACTTCCTAATTATATCAAAAATAAATAGAATAAATCATGTTTTTCCAGGTATTAAGCAGGAAATTTTTACGTTATATTAAGGGCACGATACTTTGTTTTGAGTTAAAGGCATCTTTTTTTGACAGGAGTTTTCAAAAAAAAAAAAAAAATTTTTTTCGATTTCGGTAAACGGTCTGTGCAAAATCTGCATGCAATCTTATGATTTACATAATTTGCATGCATTTGTATACATACATAATTTTTTTTTTTTTTTTATATTCCGCAGTCTACTTCTCTCAGGTCAACAATGGACGATGATCCTTGGGACGATTGGGAAACTGCTGCCGATGCTGGCGTATGATCTATTTTGTCTTTTTATTTATATTTTCTTTCTCTTTTCACAACATTTTATCTCTGTTAGCCCTTACTGATCATTTTTTGTTTCCGCTAGTTAGATCCAAAACCCAGTAAGGCTGTGGATGAACATGAAAAGAATAAACAATTATGGCAAGAAGCGTATGAATAATTCATTTAATTTCGAATTAAAAGTCGTGTAATTTGATTTAAAATTTTAATTCTTTTTCAAATTTTATTTCTTAACAGAAACGCCTTTGCACAACCAGAAATTATTCGCGTGGATACAGCCCGTACGGAATATGTACCACAAGTATTTAGATTTATCGATTTAATAAATAATATTAATTCTTTATTAAATCTGTTCTAATTCAAAATTATGTTGTTCTTGTATTAATAGCTTCGTATTTTAAAGCGTCCAAAAAATCCAGGACCAACTACTACCACACATCCTTCCCATTTAGCATCATATGCCACCTTTGCTGGTGATTCATATACTTTCTCCAATTCCTCCATTGATTTATCACCAAAACAAAAATCCTTAGCAGAACGTGAAGCAGAATACAATCTAGCAAGACAAAAAATATTTGGTGCTAATACTAATTCTGATGGTAGTTGTGGTGAAGAAGGCGTAATTACCAGCGAAGGTAAAGAAAATGAGGGTCAAAAGAAAATCTTGACTGAACGAGGTGATGTTACAAAGGAAGTTCATGTAGATATCTCAAAGCTTAATGGGACGCGTCAAAAAGAAACTTTGAAATTTAAATAATTTGTAATATTTCCCATCAAGACACAAGGTTTTACAATATCAACCCAACAGCATTTGATTTTCATTGAAAAATAATGATTTAATTCTTATTTTCATTAAAACATGTGATCATGTCGTTACGTGTAAATTTATTTACTTTGATAATTCCCGATCTTATTTTTGTTAATTGTTGAGCTGCTAAGCCTTCGGAACATTACAAATCAGACAAACAGGAACTGAAGGAGGAGATATCACTATAGAACTCTGCAAGTGTATTAAACTTAATAGATATCACTTCAGAATAAGTGTGCAAGATTATATGAGTTTTTTTTATAGTTATCCATTTTTCATAATACATATTATTATATCATTAATATAATCTTAAGTAAATAATTAATATAAACAAATTAAAAAGAAAATTTTTTGTACTGATATTTAATAATAATAATAAATACCCTTTTTTTGTATTACCAATTTAGAATATTGGATGCACTGGGTGTTCAGTCAACTAATTTAAATCAAGTATTTTTTTTTCAGTATCCACGGAATACAAGGTGAAGGTATATGAAGTTACGGATAACTGGGTTGATGCATAGGTTATATAATTTCTTTCACGCTACTTCATTCCTTTATTGCTATCTTACAAACTTTATTGCTACCTTATAAAATTAATTTTTATCACATTGTCTTGTAGAAGGAGCAATTTACATTACAATAAAACTAAAAGCAGATAAATATTGTGCAAGAATTCCAAGCGGAATGAAGAACAAGAAGCCAATTATGTTTCTTATATTTACAATAAAGGAATATATCAACTACAAGAACTTTAACTAACACAAAATTTTATTTTTACATTATAATTATATTTTTTTAAATTAATAAAAAGCTATAAGATTTAATGTTTCAACACTAAATTCCGAGTGAATAATCAGAATTTTAAAGATATAGTACAATTAAATATGTTAATAAACTGATATTTAAATAAGCAAGTTTTTAAAATATATTTTCTTTTTTATAATTATATCAATGATACTTAATATAAAACAGTGAAGTAAGTGATAAGAAATGCATCTGATGTATACATAATACCAATGGGATAAAATAATATATTGTTCATATTTACAGATCAATTTTATAAGAAATATATATTTTTTTAATTTTATATAAAGATTCAATCATTACGTAATCTTTTACAAAAGAAAAATGAATTAAGTAACTGTAAAATCTTAAGACATTTAGTTGATTCATGAACATAAGCAATTGTGGTTATTTTTGATGATAAAGTTAGTATTAAAAAAATTAAAGATAAAGAAATATAATGGTTAAATAAAAGGAGATAAGAAATAAAGTAAGATTTATTTTTAACTTAATATATAGTATTTTTCTTAAATTTAAGACAAAAATAAAAAACTTTATATATAAAAAAAAAACAAAACAGCATCCTGATATTTCGTCTTCATCATAATAAAAAAAAAATTAGTTTAAAAATAAAAAAAAATAAAGCATATACTATTTTTTGTAAGAAGAGTATTATAATCTAACTTTATCTTACCTATAATCCAGTTGATGTCATAACCTAGTAGATTATAATCATCTAAAACCTTAATTTTACAAGTATTTTAATGATTTTTGAATCAAGAACTTTAGAACCTTTAATAATCCTTATAAAAAGATATTTGTGTTATAAGTATTATGATATAATAACTATATATGATATCATATAAAAATTTACTCTTAAATTTTGTAATTACATGTGTTATACAAAAATCATTTGAAAGATCTTTTTTAATGTAAATCACTAAAACTTAGTTAACATCGTTAACATTATTTATTTTATTTATCTCATTTACATAGTTTATCTAGTTTATTTATTTTATTTATTTTCTTTAGTTTATTTATTATATTAGTTACTAGTAATTATATAATATGATCATATTATATAGTTACAGGTGACTTGAAACAGGTTATATAGAAACACTATAATCTAACAGAGACATTATAATCTAATATACAAGAGGGACAGTCCTCTAATTACACAAAATTCCAAATCTAGTAAAGAGATAATACATTGATTGATTAATAAAAATCGCAAATTTTGATAATGAAATCACATGACTTCAAAACCCATCACATTAAAAATTGCGAATTAGATAAACTAATAGTTATAAAATGTATTTATTTCACAGTGTAATAAACCTATTGAAAATGTGGTTATAATCATGTAATTAAAAATGATTAAAAGGTAAAAAAATATAACAAAATAACAAAATGAATTAAATAATTTTTTTTACAAATTTAAAAATAATTCTTTTGTGTGTTCTAATAAATTATCTACTGTTATAATATCATTCATTGTCTCATCTATGTTATTCATTATTTTCAGCTGTATTTTTATTATTTTCTTTAACAGATTCCTGTTTATCTGATTTTTTCATTAAACTTATTATAAGAGTATCAACATTTTTCTTCACTTTCATCTTAAAGATATCCTAAACATATCAAACATTTAAATTGATATCTTTGTAGGTAATGGTTATGGTAACCATGCCTACATGTAAGAACAATTCTATCAATCAAATAGTTAGCATATTTACAATACAAATAATCATAAAAAATGGTGGTATTAGGTTATTTAGAAGTAACAAAGCCATGTGGAAAATTACAATCGTTCACTTCATAATCTAAAGAAGGCAATTTATATGTGTTAATTAAAGATGGTTTCCATAATTATTTTTAAAATTTTTAACTAGTTGCAACTGAAGTTGCAACACTTTGAGTTGCAACTATTTATAAATTTTTATATTAAAATAAATTTATAAGGAGTTGCAACTTAACTTCTTAATTATGATGCCCATCTTTAGTGTTAATACTATCATATAAAGATTTAATAATTGAAGAATACATATGACATGCTTGATATATTTTCATAAATATATTTAAAAACTCTATAGCATACTTCTGAGAAAAAGTATTCAACTGCTTTGGTGTATATGAATATTTAATAGCATTTATGAAATGCTATTAGAATGCATTATTATCTTATTATTGAAAAATGAAATATGTCTCTTTCTGCAATTGTTGAACTGCAGAAAACTTAACAGTATGTCATCATATAATGCTGTAGATGGTTTTGACAGGACAATCACTTAGAAAATCAAGGTTATTAATAATCATGTTAATTATTAGATAATTAATCTCCATTCAATAAAAAACATCAGAAAAAGTATTAATGAAGTACATTTGTAATTTTTCTGATCAAATCGAAGGAAAAGATTACTTTAGCAATGTATATAAGCTTTTTGTAAGCAGGCCAATTACCTTCTTGATGGTATACTGCATAAATATCAAGAGTTAAAGAAACTAGATTGCTCAGTAAATCTATCAAATAAAGAAACTTAATATTCTTGCTCATATGACCGATTTTTGAATAGACAACCTCAGCTATATCAATTCACACTATACATACGATATGAAGAATTAAGTCAATTCTCTATAATCATTTGCGTCAAATATATTTTTATAAATATTGTTAAAGAAAAACAAATTCTGTAACAATGCGAACTTGCGAGCATTTAAAGACATATGAAGAGAACTCATCATAGGTAAAAGAATACAATAAAATTAGGAATAGTTTCATTGTTAACAAGAAGCTATTATACAATAGTCTTATGAATTTAGAACTGTTCAGTTTAATCTGCAACAATAGGAATAGCATAGTTGGAAAGATGTTTCTGCATCAGGTTTTGATTATATACGATTTGCAGAGCTTTCATATATTCTACTATACCTTTCAATCATTTTCAACAAAATCGAAAAAGATAACATTATGTATATGTCAATTGTTCTTTTCCCTATCAGTCTATCATTATAGTTGTGTACCAATAGTCTGTCTATAACCTCATCATTAGAGCACCTTTTTTCTATACTATAATGTCTACGATTATGATATGAAATACTAAAATCTATGATAAATTATGCTTCAAGATGTCTTGTAATCAATTTGCTATCAATGATCTTTGGATTGATTGCTCCATTTCATGGTATTGCAGATATTAGACATGAATTTGCTATGATCGTTGTCATATATGCTATGCTGCTCAAGATATATTGATAGTATCAGGTTATCTTTGAACATGAATATTATGATAATCGTTTATGTTTAAAATAAACAAAGTTTTCAGATATTTTGCAAGGGCTTTCTCTACATATTCTCATGTATATCAGAAACTATTTTCTTTTTACAATCTATTGATCTCGATGTTGTAGATACGTCAAGATTAACCATCATATTCAGACCTTTATTGCTTATACCTACTAAATCTAAATAAAATCTAAAGTCAAATTTGAACGAATTAAATTTCATATTATGCAGTGAAGCAAGTAGATGACAAATTAAACCATAAATTTCATCATACAGTTCATCATTTGCTCATTAATTTCAAGTGGCTGAGCTACTAAATAAAAGTAATTAAAGAAATCTTTCAAACTTGATTTAAAATCTTGAATTATTCTTCGTATTTCGTCAAATGTATATATTAGCTCTTTTTTATCTAATTGTTTTCTTTTGTAAAGGATCTTTACCATTTTCTTGATTGCTCTAAAGAAATCGATATTATTGATATTCATACTCACCTCTTCCTCCTTTTTCTCATATGTGATATTTTCGTTCGTGATTTTTACTCACTTAGGATCTTTTTTTAGAGGATTTTCTACAAAATGCATATAACATATATTACATAAAACAATACCTTTCTCTCACATTACATTTATTAAATCTTTACTTTCAGTTCTTTCCACTTTTCTCTCTTTAACAAATGAAATTTAAACAAATTAGTAGTTTAGTATTCTGCATATTTCTTTGTCCCAGATATGTCTTTAATATGTAATAACTATGTAAAAATATGGGATTAACGAGAATTAAAAAAATATATCTAACATGTGAGCATTTAAAAAAATATAATAATGCTAATTTAGAGAGGTTAGACTATAGTACACGAAGTATAATGTCATTATAACCTGAT